GTCTACGAGAACGACTGGTACGGCGACTATCCCGGCGCTAAGTCCAAGAAACTACCCGAAGCCGAGGTATGTATGTGTGGACACGTTTTCATTAATTATGATTATTATGTGTTAATGTGATTCAACACAGTATTCAATACTTTATGTCTATTTTAGGCCGAAAAATATTTTGGCGGTTCGCACGAGAATTTTGTACGTGATTATTACCATCGATGTTAACTTGTTATAGTGTACTAATTCATACATGCATTTGCAGTGTAAATGGCGAGACATACCGGAGCTATTGGACTGTAAGACCAATCAAAACAACTCGCGCGAGTGGTCGGACCTGTGCGCCAACCCTCAGACCATTGGTGCGGTAATGCCCGACAAGAACACCATACACTTCGTGACCGGCGCCGGCGGTAGTAAGACATACGGGTTTGACATGAGGCCCAAACGGGACGCCACGGCGGCCACCGATCAACGCTTTCACACTATGAAACCCGGGCTCCAGGACTGGGCCAAGAAGTACAAGGGATTCAACCCGTCTGAGGGCGGCTTCTGTATGATAGACGGCGACCTCTGTGTCCTGAGTCCGACCTCTGCCAAGTGCTGGAACGGCGACTCTGGTCTACTCATTATGATTAACAAGACTGTAGGCGAGGCTGAGGTCGAGGAGGCGGACGCGGCCGACGGCGACCCTAAAGATGCCGGCGCTCTCATCAATACCGATCCACGCAATGGTCTGTACGTTAAGATTAAGGGCAAAGAGGTCTGTTCGTACGTTATGGACAACGGGCGCCTGTACCAGGACGGCAAGTGTGTGCCCACTGACCAGCATAAGGCCAATTATCCGTCCGATATTATCGCCGCCATTAAGAATCGCGCCAACGAGTGGTTCTTCATTAGGCCCGACGGCACGCACTGTCGGCGCCATCAAATGGATTCCAATAAGGTATGAATTTTTATATCGATGTTTTTATTATCAATGGTTTTGCGATTAATTTTCTAATTGTTTCCAAAGTTTGATAATTTGTTATTTAATATTAAATTTGTTGTGAATTTTTGTTAGTATTTAATTGTATTTTGTGTTTTACCACTCGTTTAGTGCACTGAATGGCGGGACAACAAAGAGCTGTTCGCGTGCGGCGACGACAACAAACCGCCCGAACACGAGTCGCTGTGCAATAACCCGAAGATCAACGCCGGCGGTAATCATCCGCCGGAGATATACGTCTTCCGCGGCGGCAAAGTGTGGCAGTTTGACAATCGGCCACAAACTGGCAAACCGTTTGGCAATCTGTTGGACGGCGCGGAACCGGCCAAAAATCGTTGGCCAGGCATTCGCACGCCCGGCGGCTTCGGCGGCAATCTAGAGAACCCTATTATGATCTACAATAAGAAGTGGTCGGAGTGGTCGCCGAAGGGCGACAAAGTGAAACTCGACGAAACCATTGAAACCAAAGTGATTGAGTTGCCCGACGAGCCCGAAGGCGACCCCACAGACAGGGGAGCGCTGATATTGGTGGACAAAGCGGCCGCCAAATACGCCAAGATCTTAGCTGATAAGGCGTGTTACGTGAAAATTGCCAAAAACAAGGCCTTCTGGACCGGTAAGTGTCGTCCGGTGGCCGAAGAAGAGCACAACTATCCGCCAGAAGTGGTGGCGGCCGTGAAAGCCGGTGACAATAATTGGTATTTCTTTAACCCGAACGGCAAGTACTGTAAGCGCGCGGACGGCAGCGCACAAAACGTATGTACTATTTGTTTGCTTTAGTTGTGTCTAAAACTGATTGATTGTCTGTGTTTTGGACCTTTCAGTGCACGGAATGGCACCCAAACGGAGAGGCATTCGGTTGTCAACCGAAAGGAAAGAAGCGGAAGACAAGGGATACCGAAGCCGTGGCGGACAACGCGGACGCCAAGCGATCTGAAGGCAGTGATCGGTCGCAAGAGTTGGAACTGTTGTGCAAGAATCCGGTGATCAATGCGGGCGGCAATTACGGCCCACATGTGCTCATATTCAGGGGCGGAAAGTATTGGCAGTTCGACAATAAGCCCAAAGCGGGGAAACCGTTGGGCGAATTGGTCGCGGGTCAGGTGCCGGCCAAAGACCGCTGGCCTGGCATTCGTTTCCCCACAGGCGTCGCCGCTAAGGGTAAGGACTTTGTGGTGGTCTATAAGGACAAGTGGTCGCGTTGGCGACCGGACGGCAAGCGTAGCGGTTCCGGTCATATCCAGGATCCGGATAAAGGGGGCAAAACTGGGCCCAAAAGTAAAAAGCNTGGCCTGGCATTCGTTTCCCCACAGGCGTCGCCGCTAAGGGTAAGGACTTTGTGGTGGTCTATAAGGACAAGTGGTCGCGTTGGCGACCGGACGGCAAGCGTAGCGGTTCCGGTCATATCCAGGATCCGGATAAAGGGGGCAAAACTGGGCCCAAAAGTAAAAAGCCGGGCGACGCCGACCTTCCCGACGAGGAGGGAAGCGATCCGACCGGTGAACGCGACCCCAAGAAGAAGCCGACGGGTGGACCGAAAGGAGTGACCACTAAAAAGCCCGGCGCTGGCGATTTGCCCGATGAAGAGGGAAGTGATCCGACCGGTGAAAGGGATGGCAAGAAAAAGCCGAAGGGAGGGCCGAAAGGTGGCGACAAAAAGGGATCTAAAACTGGGCCCAAAAAGCCGGGCGAAGCCGGCCTTCCCGACGAAGAAGGTAGCGATGCGACCAACGAAAGGGATGGCAAGAAAAAGCCCGGAGCGGGTGAATTGCCCGATGAGGAGGGAAGTGATCCGACCGGTGAAAGGGATGGCAAGAAGCCTAAGGGCGGGCCAAAAGATGGCGATAAAAAGGGTCCCAAAAAACCAGGCGATGGGGAACCGCCGGACGAAGAGGGCAGCGATCCGAATGCCGAACGCGAGCCGAGTCCCGACGAAGCGGAGGCGGCGGCCGTCGACAGAGACCCCACTAAACCGGTGAACAAAGACGAGAAGATCGAAGACGAAGAGATGCCCGACGAACCCGACGGCGATCCCACAGATTCGGGCGCCGTTTTCCACAACGACCCGAACCCAGACGTGCGGACACACGTGAAGGCGGATCAGGTCTGCAATCTGTTGTTCCGCAACAATAAGCTCTACCAAAACGGAAAGTGCGTGAATGTGGACGAAGACAGACACGCGTATCCGCCAGACCTCGTGGCCGCCATCAAGAACAAGGACAAGGACTGGTTCTTTGTCAACAACGACGGCAAGTACTGCAAGCGAAAGGACAAGAACTTCGATAAGGTATGGATTGTGTGAACGGGTGTTTGTGTGAGAGAACCGCAAGTATTGTGTTGTAATGTTTTATGCTTTGTATATACAGTGCACGGACTGGAAGGACAATAAGGATCTGTTTGGCTGCAACGCTGCCAAAGAAAATCTGGACCCGAAGGTCGAGAATCTGTGCGGTAAGCCGAAGATTAACGCCGGCGGTAATCATCCGCCAAACATATTGGTGTTTAGGGGCGGAAAGGGCTGGACGTTCGACAATATGCCCGAAAAGCACAAACCATTGGGCAATTTGGTAGAGGCCGGCGAGAAGCCAGTGAAGGGCAAATGGCCGGGCATTCACTTTCCCGGCGCTTTTGGTAGCAATAAAGACAAACCTATTATGGTGTACAACAAGACGTGGTCCCAGTGGTTGCCCAACGGCGACGCCGATGTTGTCAATGAACCCATACTGGAGCTCAACGACAGCCCCGGTGTAGCCATACTTTTGCCCAACGATCGCATAGCCGTTGTGGTCAACGAATCGGTAAATTATTAGTTATTTGTTTGTCTATTGAAGTTTAGTCTAACCTTTTAGTTGTGTCCCAACGATAGGTCTGGTATTTCCGAAAGAAGGGCCAGAAGTTGTTGCGCGACAACCATAACAACGGGCCGACACCCGTCGGCAAAACAGTGGAGAACTTTCCGCCGTATCTGTCGGCTGTGCTGACCATCAATCACAACATCTACTACTTCTTCAAAGGCAGCAAATATTGCAAACGACCGCTCGTTGTGGAGGACAACGCCTACTCGCAGACACCGCAACTCGATTGGGATAATATGCCCGCACTTTTCGACGAGTCCAACACCGATATGGTTCCCGAGGAAGAGGTTAGAGTTGTCTAAGTTCTTGGGTTCAAGTGATTTGATGATTATTTTGATTAAAATTTTAAATTTTGTTTTTCTGGAACCGATAGCTGAAGAAACACTTCACGTTAAAGTCTAAGGATTCAAACGTAAGTGCTTTTAGTGTTTATTGATTTAGTGATGATAAGTACTACTAGTGTTATAATGAATATACTGTGCCTTACAGTGCATATGGAAAGACAACAGAGACCTATTGGGCTGCAAACTGCCCAAAGTGTACAATAAGATCCGCAAACTGTGCTCATCGCCGGTCACCATCGGGAGCGTCATCTTTGACCACAAGCTGATCAACGTCTTCACTCACCTCAAGCTCTATGTGTTCGACCCGACGGGTCGACCGAAGAAAAATATGGACCCGGCGTTTACTCGACTGGTGAGCGACGACACGCAACCGGCGCGCAAGTGGCCCGGCTTTGACCAGAACTACGGCCGCTTCTACTCGACCCAAGTGAACCATCTGTGCGTTATCCACGAGAACGTGCGCTACACGTGTTGGTCGGCCGACGGCAACAAATATGTGGACAATCGGCCCATCGGTCCGCCAGAAGAGGATATGGAGGACGAAGAGGGCGGCGACGAGAACGGAGACGCCGGCGCTCTCATCAATCCGGAAGACAACGGCGGAAAGTATGCGCGCATTAAAGGCAATAAGTTGTGTCAGTTGGCCATCGAAGACGAGGAGATGTTCTTCGTTGGCGGCGATTGTGCGGACGTGAAAACAGATCCGCGCAATTTCCCGCCACAGATCATAGCGGCCATCAAACCCAAGGATAATAACTGGTATTTTCACAATAAAAATGGCAAATACTGTAAACGTGCCGAAAATGATCACAAAAAGGTTTGCATTGAATTTATATTTTTTATGTTAACACTAAAATAAATAATTGACTATAACTAAAGCATTGATTTGAAGTTAAATAACTTTTTCTCCCGAAAGCGGAGAACCTCCTGAAAGTTTGGGGGCACACGATATACCCCTTTGGGGGTATTTTAAGAGACTTTTATTTCACCTTTTTAGCACCTTTTGGGACGTTATCACCTTTAGTAACTTTTTAGTAACTTTTCACCTATTTTGCAAATTTTATACGAAATTAATGAATATTTTGATCGATTTGCAAAAATTATTCAACAATTTGATAGCGAAGAATCGGGTTTTTATAGAGGAATTGAAAGAATTGGTTGTGAATATTAATGTTACAAATTAATTAGCATTCATTTATGCTAATTTAGATTAAAATCTCAAAAAGTATTTTGTGATATAATTTAGTTCAAAAAATTGATGTAATTAATCTTTTTAATGTACTATTTTAATGCAAAATAACTAACTTTTTCTTAACTTTTTACCACCTTTTTATCACCTTTTCAGCCATTTTTAAGCAACTTTTTAAGTACCTAAAACACTTTTTTAGTCACCTAAGAATCAATGCTTTAACTATAACTAATATAATATAGTTGAATAGTTAGTTTTACATTATATATTAGTTTTACAGTATACATTATAAAGTTTACACTTTAGTTAGTGACGATTAAATGTTATATTAGACTATATATTATATAGTAATTATGCCGTATTATGGAGTGAATTAATTAATTTGTTGAGAACTGTAATCGCAAAATGAGTTCATTTAAATCATATTTATAAAGTCGCCAACGTTTTTCACTAATGGATAACATATAATATATCATAAATACAGATGAGTAGTTTTACGTATACAGTAGTTAAGTTTTGCACAAATTGAACTTTTTTAATTAATTTATTTATATTGTAAATTATATCAATACTGTATACACAAAAATTATTAATCTCTGTTAATTAAATAATCTCTAATAATCATTAATCGAATACCAATATTTTACCAATATAGGATTGTTGTATAATGATTATCTTTTTCAATCTGCAATCTTGCCAAAATACTTTCTCCCTTAATGTTGATTGGCCACTGTATCAGTTCACACTGTTTGATTGACTTTAACCTTGGCGCATAATAAAAGTTTGAAGATCTATAATTATCTTGCTAATTTACATTGTAGTAATTGGTAGACATATAGTAAAATACAGTGATTTATTTGATATGAACTGTAATTGAATAATATATAATTTTTATACACATTTGTAAAATATATAATTGCAAAAACTATAGGGAATATATCAAACAGTTATAGCTATTATAAAACTTATAAACTAGTACATTATTTAGAAGTGTAAATAAATTTTTTAAATGCACATTTGATATTTGAAACATAACCATATTAATGAACCTGATCATATTTATATTAAATTTTATAATAGTGTGACAAATGGGCCGACAATAAGGAGGTGTTTGGCTGTACGGCAAAGTACGTGAGTCCCGACCTGCAGAGCCTGTGCCAGAACGCGACGATCAACGCTGGGGGCAATTTCCCGCCCCATATCATGGTATTCAGAGGTGGGAAGTACTGGAAGTTCAACAATAGACCCAAACCCAAGAAACCGTACGGCGAACTCGTCGAGTATAAAGCGCCCGCCAGAGAGAAATTCCCGGGCGTTCACACACCCGGCGCTGTCGGCCATAACGGACCCAACTTTCTGGTCGTACACAACAAGAAGTGGTCCCAATGGCTGCCCAATGGGTTCAACGACGTGCTCGACGAACCCATACTGGACAAGGAGTCGGAACTGCCCGACCAGCCGGAGCTGAATCCGGCCGACAGGGGAGCGCTTATACCCACCAATCAGACGGACCCGAAAGCACAGGAGTACGCGAAGATCGTGGGCGACAAAGTGTGTTATGTCGTGATCCGCAAGAATAAGCTCTACTGGAAGGACAAGTGTGTGTATGTGTCGAGAGATCCGCACAACTTTCCGCCCCATATCGTGGCCGCCGTGAAGGCCAAAGACCCCAACAATTGGTACTTTTTCGACGATAAGGGCCAACACTGTCACCGACCGGACAAAGACGTCAGCGAGGTTTGTATGGATAGGGGTTTGGGTCCCAGTGATAGGGAGTTTATAGTGATGTGCGTTAATACTCGTTATCTATTGTAGTGCACGAAATGGACAGACAATAAGGAGGTGTTTGGCTGTAAGGATAAAAAAGTGAAACAGGAGCTCAAGTTTTTGTGCTCAAACGTGAAGATCAACGCCGCGGCTAACGTACCGCCGCATACGCTGTTCTTCAGGGGCGGAAAGCTGTGGCGTTTCGACGATAAGCCCAAACCGAAGAAGCCGTTCGGCACTCTGGTCGAGGGTCAGGTGCCGGCGAGCGTCGAGTTCCCCAGCATTCACTTTCCCGGCGGCGCCGGCCATCAGAAGCCCGACAAGTTTGTGATGGTCTATAAGGACAAGTGGTCGCGTTGGAAGACCGAACCCCTCGTCCCTAAGGTTGCCGGCAGTGATCCCGACGCTGAGGACAAAGCGGGTCCCGAAAAGGGAAAGGAAGACAAGAAAGACGATCCGGACGAAGAGGGCAGCGCTCCGGCGGACAGTAGGGACGGGAAGAAAGCGCCCAAAGGAGGCAAAGCGGGAGAAAAGCCCAGCGATAAGCCGTCGCCTGACGGCGAGGAGAACGCAGCGCTCGATAAGGACAAAGATAAGGGCGGAAAGGGTGGCGACGATCCGTTCGCCGATACCGGCGGTGCGCTGATTCCGGTGGACCCGAAAATACCGCTCTTCGCTAAGATAAAGGGACCCGAAGTGTGTTATCTGACTATACGTAACAATAAGGCCTATTGGAAGGGAAAGTGCAAACCTGTGGCCAAAGACGCGAATAAATTTCCGCCCAATATTGTGGCCGCCGTTAAGAATAAGGACAACGACTGGTTCTTCGTGGAGAAAAACGGCACGTATTGTAAGCGCAAAGACAACTCGAAGGATGAGGTAATTGTTTTGATTGCTTAATGATCTATACATTGAATTGAGATATAGAGTAGACGTTTAAAATTGATTGCAATAATAATGATATAATTTAGTGCAACAAATGGGACGATAATAAAGAGCTGTTTGGTTGCGACCAAAAGCCAGTGAAGGCCGAGTTGAAGGAGTTGTGCCGAAACGCGACCATCAATTCGGGCGGTAATGTCGACCCAAACATAGATGTGGCCAAAGAGGGAAAGGTGTGGTCTTTTGACAATAAGCCCAAAGAAGGCAAACCATTGGGTGAGTTAGTGGCCGGCAAAGTGCCCGTCGATGAGAAGTATCCGGGAATGCATTTGCCCGGAGGTCTGAGTAATAATAAGGGCACTCCTGTTATGGTGTACCCAAACAAGTGGTCGCAATGGCCTAAAAAGGGCGGTAAGGCTGGAGGTGCGAGCGAACCCGGAACTGGTGATGGCGGTGGAGATGCGAGTAGTGGTGATGGAGCTGCAGATAAAGGCGGCAAAACGGACCCCGAGTCTAGTGGTGGTGATCCCAAGGGTGACGCCAATGACGGGGCTTTGATTCCTGTGGACCCGAAAAAGGGAGAGTTTGCGAAGATTAAGGGCCCGAAAGTGTGTTACTTAACGATCAAACAAAACGTGGCAAAATGGAAGGGCAAGTGTCAGCCCGTGGCCGACGATCCCAACAACTTTCCGCCCAATATTGTGGCCGCCATTAAAAATAAGGACAACGACTGGTTTTTTGTAGCGAAAAATGGGACCTATTGTAAGCGTAAAGACGACTCGAAGATTGAGGTAAATTTATTTAGTAAAACAGGATTTTATTAATACATTAATAAATTTATTGAAATTATAATTAAAGTGTAATAAATGGAAACCAAATAAAGAACTGTTTGGATGTAAAGCTAAGAAAGTGAAACCAGATTTAGAAGAGTTGTGTGAAAACCCGGCCATAAATGCCGGCGGAAATGTTGACCCAAATATCGATGTCTTTAAAGACGGAAAAGTGTGGAAATTTGATAACAAACCCAAAAAAGGCAAACCTTTTGGCGATTTAGTTGAGGGCAAAGTTCCCGCAGAAGAGAAATATCCCGGCATTCATCTGCCCGGAGGTCTAAGCAATAATAAGGGTAATCCTGTTATGGTTTATCCTAATAAGTGGTCGCAATGGCCAAAGTCAGGCGCCGGCGGTTCGAAATCAGACGATCCCAATTCAGGCAGCGGTGATCCGGATGGAAGTGCCGGTGATGGCGACAGTCCTAAGTCTGGCAAAGGGAAGGGCAAACCAAAAGGGGGCTCTAAAAAGGGGAAAGACAAACCCGGATCAGGAGATCCCAGTGCCGGAGAACCGGACGAAGAGGAGAGCGCTCCGACCGATGGCAGAGACAAGAAGAAGGGTGAGCCGGGAAGCGGTGATGGAGGCGGTGGGGGTCCGGATTCACCGACAAATATACGCGATAAACCAATTCTTGGCGAAGACGGCAGCGGAGATCCAGGTAGTGGTGAACCCAAGGGTGACGATAAAGACAAGGATGATAGCAATGACGGGGCTTTGATTCCTGTGGACCCGAAAACGGGAGAGTTTGCGAAGATTAAGGGCCCGAAAGTGTGTTATTTAACGATCAAACAAAACGTCGCCAAATGGAAGGGCAAGTGTCAGCCCGTGGCCGACGATCCCAACAACTTTCCGCCCAATATTGTGGCCGCCGTTAAGAATAAGGACAACGACTGGTTCTTCGTCGCGAAAAATGGGACGTATTGTAAACGTAAGGATGATTCAAAGATTGAGGTAAATTCACATTTATTTGTAATTTATAGTAGTTTTAATCTATTAATAAATTTATTGATTATTAAAAATATAATTAAAGTGTAATAAATGGGAACCGAATAAAGATTTGTTTGGATGTAAAGCAAAGAAAAAGAAACCAGAATTAGAAGAGTTATGTGAAGACCCGGCCATTAATGCCGGCGGAAATGTTGACCCGAATATCGATGTCTTTAAAAACGGAAAATTATGGAAATTTGATAACAAACCCAAAAAAGGCAAACCTTTTGGCGATTTAGTTGAGGGCAAAGTTCCCGCCGAAGAGAAATACCCGGGTATTCATCTGCCCGGAGGTCTAAGCAATAATAAGGGTAATCCTGTTATGGTTTATCCGAACAAATGGTCGCAATGGCCAAAGTCTGGCGCCGGCGGTCCGAAATCAGACGATCCTAATTCAGGCGGTGGTGATCCGGATGGCAGTGCCGGTGATGGCGACAGTCCTAAGTCTGGCAAAGGGAAGGGCAAACCAAAAGGGGGCTCTAAAAAGGGGAAAGACAAACCCGGATCAGGAGAACCGGATGAAGAGGAGAGCGCTCCGGCCGATGGCAGAGAGCGCAAGAAGGATGATCCGGGAAGCGGTGACGGAGGTGCTGGTGGTCCGGACTCAGCGACAAATATACGCGATAAACCAATTCTGGGCGAAGACGGCGCCGGAGATCCCGGTAGTGGTGATGGAGACCCCGGCAAAGGAGGGGCAGATAAAGACGGCAAAAAGGACCCCGAGTCTAGTGGTGGTGATCCCAAGGGTGAGGCCAATGACGGGGCTTTGATTCCTGTGGACCCGAAAAAGGGAGAGTTTGCGAAGATTAAGGGCCCGAAAGTGTGTTATTTAACGATCAAAGAAAACGTGGCCAAATGGAAGGGCAAGTGTCAGCCCGTGGCCGACGACCCGAATAACTTTCCGCCCAATATTGTGGCCGCCATTAAAAATAAGGACAACGACTGGTTTTTTGTGGCGAAAAACGGGACGTATTGTA